TCCATTTTTCTTATTTTTTCTTCTTCTTCTTCTTCTCTTTTTTTGTTGGTGGTTGGCATGCCCTATCCGTTGTCTCTGGAGAACATTTCCAAAGAGAAGAAAGTGGGGAGAGAAGAGTGAACGGGCGCGTGCAGGAGTATAGCGAGAGGCGTACCCCCCCACGCACGCGCACGCGCACACCCACACCCCTTCAGAGACTCTTTTTTTCATTAACTTAGTTGTGGGCTATAGATGTTCGACCAGGCCACGATGGGCGATGGCAGCCACCGCTGCGGGCCCAACCCGCTGTGCGCGGACCGCCTGGAGGCCAAGGGCCGCGCGGAGGTCGGGGCCCGGTCCCCGGTGCACTGCCCCACCTCCACGGACACGCCGGGCACGTCCGCGTCCACGCCCACGTCCTCCAGCGAGGACGGCCACGAGAAGCTGCTGGGGGTGGACCCGGACTACTGCCGCCGGATCCTAGTGAGGGGTGAGCGGGGAAGAGGGGACCGGGGGTCCGGGGGGGGGGTCTGGAGGTCTGGAGGAGGGGGGGAGTGTGGGGTTTTTCCGTGGGGATGTTTTTATTTGTAAGGAAATGACAGGAAATGACACAATTCCGGGTTCATTCTGCACAAACTATCAAAAACACACGTTTTTTAGTTGTCGTTTTAATACAAAATAGACACACAATCTGACACCGCGAGTTTAACTTTGATTTTCCGGACTTTCCGTGGTGTTGTTTTTATTTTTAAGAAAATGACACAATTCCAGGTTCATTCTGCAGCAACTTGTGCACAAACTACTAAAACAACGTTGTCGTTTTAGCAAAAAATCGACACAAAGTCTGACTCCGTTTCCATAATAGCGAGTTTAACTTTGACTTTCCGTGGGGTTGTTTTTATTTTTGAGGAAATGACAAAAAATGACACAATTCCGGGTTCAATCTGCAGCAACTTGTGCAAAAACTACTAAAAACACACGTTTTGTTGTTGTCGTTTTAACACAAAATCTGACTCCGTTTCCATAAAACCGGTTTAAATCCTGAGTTTAACTTTGACTTTCCGGACTCTACGTGGGGTTGTTTTTATTTTTAAGAAAATGACACAATCCCGGGTTCATTCTGCACAAACTGCTAAAAACACACGTTTTTTTGTTGTCGTTTTAGCAAAAAAGAGACACAAAATCTGACTCCGTTTCCATAATAGCGAGTTTAACTTTGACGTTCCGTGGGGTTGTTTTTATTTTTAAGAAAATGAGACAAAATGACACAATTCCGGGTTCAGCCTCTGCACAAACTGCTAAAAACACACGTTTTTTTGTTGTCGTTTTAATACAAAATAGACACACAATCTGACACCGCGAGTTTAACTTTGAATTTCCGGACTTTCCGTGGTGTTGTTTTTATTTTTAAGAAAATGACACAATTCCAGGTTCATTCTGCAGCAACTTGTGCAGAAACTATCAAAATACACGTTTTGTTGTTGTCGTTTTAACACAAAATAGACGCAAAATATGACTCCGTTCCCATAAAATTAGTTTAAATTGCGAGTTTAACTTTGACTCTCCGGACTTTCCGTGGGGTTGTTTTTATTTTTAAGAAAACGACACAATTCCGGGTTCATTCCGTGTTCACATTACACAAAATGACACAATTCCGGGTTCATTCTGCAGCAGGTTCTGCACAAACTACTAAAAACACACGTTTTTTTGTTGTCGTTTTAATAAAAAATATACACACCATCTGACTCCGTTTCCATAAAACCGGTTTAAATCGCCAGTTTAACTTTGCTAAATTCAAAATAACTGACCCTGAGGATATTTGGGTAAACAGGACAGAGTGGAGGCTGTAAAAAGGCTTCACGTGCACTATTTTGTCTTTTAAAGAGAGAGAAAAAACACACATATAAAAGATAGATTACACACGAACTAATAAGTAGGAAATAAAAAGGAAAAAATAGATAAATATAGCAGCTCTGCACACCGTTATTTTACTCGGTGTGTGTTTGGAAATATTGTAGCCTGTATGTGTGTGTGTGTGTGAGTGTGTGTGTGTGTGTTTAATATATTTTCTTAATACTCAGAAGCAATTGTTTTATTTAGATTGGAGTGTCTCCTCCTCTCTCTCTGTCTCTTGTGGAATTTTACATATATAATATACAATACAATATAATATACAATATATAGATATATACAATATATAAATTATAAAATATAAAATCCCTACCTTATAATATATAAAAAAAACAAAGACGAAAATAATTTAGACGATTGTTTTTGTCTGTAAAACACCAGATTATTACTGGTCGTTTCATTTTCCACGCAATAATCCCACGTTTATTTATCTTTTTTTCGTCTTTAATTTTCCTAAATAAATCAGTGCGGAAATAAGTGACAGGAAAGCGTAAACAGCCTTTAGTTTAACATCTAAACACACAAAAGGATCCATTCTTCGGGACAAAAGTAGAACAAAAGGAGAATTTATTATTATTATTCTACACGGTGGGATTTTTCCTGATGGAAATATGGATTCATTCTCTGTTGTAATGTGAGTAGTTTTCATTTTTTATATTTAATCTCTAATATTTAATATTAGAAATAGGAGAATATCCCAGAATTCCTGACTCATTCCAGACTCGCCTTAGAAAAACGGATAAAATATAAAATAGGAGTAGAGGGCGTGTGTGTGTGTGTGTGTGTTTGTGTAGACCCACATCAGGGTCAAAAAACGAGTCTGGAAACGCTATA